ACATTGCTTGACTGGACAACTAGGGATGGAAAAGCAGGGTACTGTATATTCACGATGAATAAGCCATAGCTCCTCCTACCCAGATCCTTGGAAGTGCCCTAGTCCAGCCCTTACCAGGCCAGATTTTCAGCTGTTTCTTTGATGTTTGTGTGATACATTCCCTGTTTGCTTAAATGAGCCAGTGTCAGTGTTTGTTGTTTGCAACCGAGAAAGTCTGAAACCAGGGGACACACCCCTGATTTCCTCTGGCTGTTCCCCTGACCACTGTCACCGCAGGCCTTGGCTGGGGGAAGGGGGAAATAGCTAAAGAAAAACTGCTTGACCAGGCAGGGCAGGCTGGATTCCTAGGGTAGCAATAATAAAATAAGACTAGAGTTAATTAAACATATGCTTCCTTAGGCTAAGACTTGATCTGGAGGTCAGGATGTGTTTGTTCCTTAGGCTAAGACTTGATTTGAAGGTCAGAATGTTTGTTCTTTAAATAAATGCCTTATGGCTTACAATAACATCTGTAATGACAATCTCAAGTTATTTCTGCAGACCACTTGCAACTACAAACCTGCTTTGATGCTCACACACTCTGGACCCCAAGGTGCCATGGAAAATATCTGTCAAGATGTCAGGAATACCTGTGCTAACTTCACCCTGAACCTATCAGCTTCCCACACAACTCCCGGGACCCCAACTCATGATTCTGCTCTGTAAATGCTTGTGATTCTAAGCTATCGGGAAGTCCGGAGTCTTAAAGCTCCTTTGGTTACCACGGGCTCCTTTGAATGGCCATCCAAATAAATGCTAATCTTTAACACTGCAAACTTTGGCATGAGAGACTTCTTATTTTATTTTATTTTATTTTATTTTGTCTTTTTTTGTCTTTTTTGTCTTTTTCCGTGTCCAGCAACGATCGCAACCCTCAGTGTTGCCCCCGTACCGGACCGGGGACCGGCAACGGGATTGCAACCCTCGGTGCTGCTCCCGCGCCTCGCTCAGCCAGTGAGCGGGAACCGGTCTGCATGTGGGATCCGAACCCTCGGGCGGGAGCGCCGCTGTGCTTCCCAAGCAGCGCACTATCCAGGGCGCCACCAGGCCGGCCCGAGAGACTTCTTATTTTATTTTATTTTATTTTGTCTTTTTTTGTCTTTTTTGTCTTTTTCCGTGTCCAGCAACGATCGCAACCCTCAGTGTTGCCCCCGTACCGGACCGGGGACCGGCAACGGGATTGCAACCCTCGGTGCTGCTCCCGCGCCTCGCTCAGCCAGTGAGCGGGAACCGGTCTGCATGTGGGATCCGAACCCTCGGGCGGGAGCGCCGCTGTGCTTCCCAAGCAGCGCACTATCCAGTGCGCCACCAGGCCGGCCCGAGAGACTTCTTATTTGGATGGCAGATCAGGTAGCCCTCTTTGTTCGGTACTCTACAGATATAGGGGTCCTTTCTAAACTTTTTGTGTGGGGAGCCAGCAAAATCAATCATTGATAGAAGGCAGTTGCTTAGACAACTTTGTGTCACACTCCTAGGAAAAGAGAGACAGGTATAGAATTAAGTCTAGATCACAGATCAACAGAATTTAATATGTGAGGGCTGGCTGGTTACCTCAGTTTGTTAGGGCATGGTGTTATAACACTTAAGTCAAGGGTTCTGATCCCCTTACTGGCTAGCTGCCAAAAAAAAAAAGAAAAAAAGAAGGAAGAATTTAGTATCTGAAAATATACCAACTCAATTCAGGTATTAAATAAACTGAGTATAATTGCATAAATGACAAAAAAATTAGCATTTAAGAGAGGAAAAAAACCCCAACAACCTCATATCTTTGATGTCTGGAGTTAATAACTACAAAATGCTTTATATGTAAGTGTAGGGGATGGTTAATTTCCCCCAACTCAACAGTTTATTTGGATTTGCCTGATGACATCTGACCTACTTTTCAGCATTCCAGGCAGTAATTACCCAAAGCCCTCCCCAAAGTCTCAGTCCATAAAATCCTCCTTTTAATAAGACTTAACAAGCCTTTAGCATGTTCCAGCAGCACTTCAAAGTCACATTAGCACCAGGGGAGTGTTTTTAAAACTTACAGTGCATGAAATGCGTTCTGGGGTGTCTCAGGCTTAAGACAAAACTGCAGGGACACGAACATCAGGTTCTGGAATCTGAAGAGAATCATGTTCTGGGGGGAATCATTGGGATGTGGGGTTGGGGATAGTGGTAGAGAGGTCTGAGCCTGAAAGTTTCCTGAAACAAACAAAAGAATTTGAGGTGAAACCAGTCTGAACCAGGCAATGGGCAATTCTGTTGAAGCCCACCCTGATCTAAAGTTACCTGGTTAACTTTTCAATTTGGGGGCTGTCTGGTTAGCTGAGTTGGTTAGAGCACAGCCTTGTAACACCAGGGTCACGGATTCAAATCCCCATACTGGCCAGCTGCCAAAAAAAACCTTTCCAGTTTGGGTCAGACTGGCATGGGAATTGCAGGGCCAATGGTTAATTACTCCCATATCCCTATCCCATCCATCCAGTAACTTCCATTTATATTCTTACTTACATACACTGTAGATAGGGATTATAGTTACTTTAACATACTTCATCTGCAAAGTTAAAATATCTACCAGCTCATAAGCTCAGAAAGGAATATGGAGGAAAATATTTACTAATTAGTAGCAGAGGTTCTACTTCTGCCAAATGTTTCTTAAAATAGAGTTATGACATGATTGGGGACAATATAGTGATTGCTTTGTTATTCTGTAACTCCACTGTCCAATATGGTAACTGTTAACCACATAGGGCTATTTAAATTTAAATTACTTTAAGTAAAATAAAAATTTAAACCTTCAGTCACAGTAGCCACATTCGAGTGTGCATTAGCCACATGTGGCTAGTGGCTGCTGTACTGTACAAGATAGAATTATAGAATATCTCCATCATTGTAGAAAGTTCCATGGGACAGTGGTGTTCTAGAATAAAAATTGTTACACCATCATTGTGTTTTACCTGTATTAGTCTATAATAAAAATGCCAGGGATCTTTTCCTAAATACTCTTTATGTAAATACCAAAGAAAGTCCTGTAAAAATACAGTAAATTAGTAATCCTACCAAGATTGGAACTTCTCTTATTGATAACTGTAATGATTAATACTTGATCCTCCTGTTGGCTAGGATCTGTTTCTCATTTACAAACTGAAGAAGAGAGTTGCAAAGTGAAAATCATGAATTTAGGCAATTAAATCACCACAGTGAGAATGAAGGCTTTCATGGAATCACATGGAAAACTATTTCAGTAGTCAATTTTTATTTCGGCTCTGAAGATGGTTCACTGTCCTTAGAAAATAAGCCCTGAGGTTTCTTCTTTTCAAGGCGAATATGACTGCTTAGTTACCACACACTTTGCCCTGAGGTTTCTTCTTTTCAAGGCGAATATGACTGCTTAGTTACCACACACTTTGCAGTTGAAGTATTGTGCTAGTCAAGTGCCTGTTGTACTAAAAACAATCAAGGCTGCTTGTGTTCTTCAAAGACATCATTCTGAAGAATCTGCCACATGATGTATCTCATGTTGTGCAAAAGAACATGTTCATGAAATACATTTGGAACATTTAAGAAAGTAGAAAAAAGTTTTCATATGCTTTTAATTTCCTCTTTTTAGTTACGCATGAATCTTTTTAAAAAATGAAAGTTATCACCAAGGTCAAGGGTTCGGATCCCTGTACTGGCCAGTCAAAAAACAAAAAAAAAACATAAACAAAGTTGTAATTATACTAGAGTTTGAACCTTCTCATTATACTATGTTCTGCTGAAGTTCAGAAAACCATACCCCAAAGTATGTTGCTTTGACATGCTGAGTACTTTGAACTAAAGGAGATTGGAAGGTCTTAGATGCAGCCTCAGAAGCAAAGTCTCAGTCTCTGACCTTCTCCTGTCCTCCTGTCTCCCTTCCCTCCTCCTCCCCTGAAGGGAGTCACAGAAACCAGAATTCCTCTTCCCCAATGCGGGCTATAAAAACTACAGCCTCTCTCCCAAAGCAAGCCACTAAATCTAGAAAGGTCACTCCGTCTTCCCTTGAAGACCCTCATTCCAGAGGAGGAAGTAAAGCTGCACAGAGAGACCAGGAAGAATCAGGACAGAAAGGCCTTGCTGGGCTTCTCTCCCTCAGTCTATTACTTCAGATCATACCCTTTTGTCCAATCACATTTCTATAAGGCTGTCAGTTCTTCACCAAATCACAGCATAAAAACAGTTTTTCCTGGGTCTTTGGGTCTTCATTTCTGAGGGCTCCAGTGTAATGTAAAACTTTGATAAAGAAATTTATCTTTTCTCTCGTTAACCTGCTTTTTGTTATTGGCATATTTGTTAAGGCATGACCCTTAGGATGGGGAGAGAAAGGATCACACCTTTTCGCCCCTACAGCGCTAACTCCTCTGGCTAGACCGTTATGCATCGAGTCTGAAGAAGTGGGCTCTTTATGAAAGATTATTTGATGGGGGGAGGAAGTGAAGGAAATTTTGTAAACCTTTATGCATCCCTCACTCACATCTATCTTATAACGTTTATATGTGTAGGCCATTTTAAGGCCATGTGAGAAGCAAAAGGGGTGTAGCTAATTCACACTGCCAATTAAGTTCCCATGGGTCAAGTCGCAACCAAAGCAAACAAGAAAATAAAATCTGGCCAGCTGGGTGATGTATTTGTTTAACAAAAGATTTCCAGAGTATTAACCCGATATTTACATTTTGCTTGGCTCTGAGGGCTTCCTCTCCCGGACAGTGGAAGACCTTGGGTGTCCCGCGGGTAGAGCCCGCCCCATCTGGGTGTGGTGGGCGCAGCGCGACAACTTTGCCCCTTCCGGTAGCCACTGGCAAAGCCAGGAATCTGTGTGGCGGGTCCAGGCCGGAGTGGAGGGGGCGGGGGCGCGGGCGGGGCGTGCCGGGGGCGGGGTCCCACGCGCCGGTCACGTGTCAGGCCCGGGCCCAACAATCCGGGCGGGTGCGCGCGCTCCAGAGTAGGAGCGGCGCCATCGTGCTCTGCCCGGTTCCCGCGCCGGGACCGCCGAGTACGTTGTTCTGCCCGGCGCTCTGGGCTTGCGAGCCAGAGTCGGGTGGGCGGCTTCATCAACGTGGGGCGGGCCGACCGGAAGCCTGCGGTTGTGGCCCCCGCCTCGGGAGCTCTGGGAGCTCGGGTGACCGCGTAGGTCAGTTTCTCGCGGTCATCCCCGCGCGGAGTCCGACGCCGGTACCCGTGTGAGCCGGTTCCTGCCGCCTGGTGCTCGGGGAGGTCTGTCTGCGCCTGGTGGGGGTTGGGTGCTCGTCTCCCCAGCGTCTCCAGGGATGGTCAGGGTCGTGGCGCGGCGATGCTGGGCTCGCAGCCGGAGCTGGCTGCTCCAGCGCTGCAGGAAGTTAGTTAAAAGTAACAAGTTAATGGCATTTGTTGCATTTCCACTCGGGGTGCTGCGACTTCGTGCTGGTGCCACCTGCATTACTTACCAAGTCTGCAGCGGCGTGCTTTCGGTGCTTTCGAGTGTGCATCGTAGTTTTTAGTCTCCTAACAAGAGGAGGATTGATTCACAGTGGAAGTCACGCGTTGTTCATGTGACCGTTCTCACAGTGTACCGCGTGGTCGGTTCACCAAGCGTGAAAGAATATCGAAGTGGATTCAGAAACAGTATGATAGATGCAGCTGCACAATAGGAACATGACTTATTCACTTACCCCGTGGCCCTAATGATTGGCAGGAGGCGTTGACAAGATTATCCTGGTATGGTTAATATCAGTTTTCAGTTTTTTAGTCAGACAGTGTTGTGAAATTGGACTGTTGGTAGTGTGATATTAAGGTAACTTATACAGGCTGCTCGAATGTTGCAAATGTGGCTATTAGGCTTTTGCGGATAGTTGGTAATGTAATTAAATCAGCTTTAAAATCAGTGATGTGTTTTCCCTGAAAACTTCACTCTTTGCAGTGTAGTAGATGTATTTTGGATATAGTTGGGAACATCCTCATATTTGGAAAGTACTTTGATTTGTTTTGAGGGCTAGCAGTGTTCAAGTTCTAACCCTGATACGAATTTTTTTGAAGCAGTGTGGTAGGTATAAATTCCGAATTCCCCAGCTGAAAGTGTAAAGATCCCTCTGTTACAGAATAGTTACAAACTCCTCCCTCTTATCCCCTAAATCTAAACTACTAGGTGGGCTCTATCTACAATTTATAGAATTGTATAAGTTGTATAAATTTATAGTAAAAATAGAGAAGACTGTCAGTAACATTCCTTTTGAATTCTATTATCTTTTTAATTTCTCCCAAGCAGAGGAACTCTCCTGCAGCATTGAGCAACTGCTATTCAAAATAGGACTTAATTGCCATAAATTGTGTAATCTGAAGCACTTGTATCTCAGTCTAGGTTATTTATCAGATGACATTTACCAGATATCTCATTGTAAATCAGCAGAAATTTGTGATGGGTGGCTAATCCTTGTCTCCAGAGGCTGCTCACTTTTGCAGGTATTATTTAAGCGGTCCTTAAACTTGTTATTCAGAACAGCCAGGCATTACTTCTATGAAAATAGTCCTCCGTTAAAACAAAGGGAAATGACACTGTTTTAGAACCATCAGCTGGGTAGAATACAGCCAGTCTCTTTTGAGTGATAACATAGTGCAGTGTCTATTAAATACGTTAAAAATATTCTTGTGGCTTTATTTTACTTAGAGATACATCTGTATATTTGATCATATTAACTTTTATTTTATTTTATTTTTTTATTTTTTTATTTTTTTGTCTTTTTCCATGTCCGGCAACGGATTGCAACCCTCAGTGTCGCCCCCGTACCGGACCGGGACCGGCAACGGGATCGCAACCCTCGGTGTTGCTCCCGCGCCTCGCTCAGCCAGTGAGCGGGAACCGGTCTGTATGTGGGATCCGAACCCTCGGGCGGGAGCGCCGCCGCGCTTCCCAAGCGACGCACTATCCAGTGCGCCACCGGGCCGGCCCCGATATTAACTTTTAAGTTGGACTTCTGCTGTGGCAATTTCTTCCTCTTGACTCTACTAGAAGCTGAGCTTTTATACAGTATATGTGTTCACTGAGGAAAGTAGTCAGTAGAAAGCAGAAATCAGCTTAACTAATAACCTGCAGGGGACAGAGGAGTATGATAGCAAGTGCACATGAGGAATTTAAAATGGCTGGGAACCTTGTCAGTTCTTTCAAGCTGGGTACAGTGGCAATCACAACTTTATTGATGACCTAGTAAATTCATTGCAGTTCTAGAAAGAGGGCAGGTTTTAGTAGGGTAGGCACCAGTTTATACCAACATTCATTGATGAAGTTTCAGAAGACATACTGGCATGCACTCTTGTCGGGAAAATGAAATGGATAAATGGTCAGAGTACCTCAGATATTCAGAATCTTGCTGAGCATTTGATGTAAATGATAACTGCATGTGTGCCCAGGTGTTCCTTGGCTATGTCTGTGGATGCCCGTGGGCACCCAGGTGTTCTTGGGTTGTCCGACTTAAATATAAAGGACAAACGGCTCTGATCCACAGTGCCCCCCGCCCCCGGGACGCCTCTGGCGGGGGTGGGGGGGTGGGGCACAGGGAGCCTGCTACTGCTGCTAAAGGCTGTTGCTACAAGCTTTTGCTGCCAGGGTCCCCGGGATGCTCTGAGAGGCCACTGCCACTGCTCCTGCTGCTGGAGGCTGCTATAAGCAGCTGCTGCCACTGCTGAGGACTGAACTCGCTTTGTAATGAACCTTTCAACTCTGCCAACAGCTCCTGGGATCTTCCCTAATTACCTAGCTCACAACCTGCATGTTAGGGGTCTGTGACCCAGCCTGGCACGTGGCACGTGAAGGGTCTCGTGACCCAGCCTGGCACATGAGGGATCTGTGACCCAGTCTGTGCAACGGGTTTGAAGGGTCAGAGCCCTAGCCTGACAACTCTGTACAGTATATATTTGTGATGATATATGGTGTCATATAATATCTTATGTGACGTTCTTGATTCCTGGAAATGTTGAGTTTTTCCTCATTCAGTGACCTCTTCCACCAATACTGTATTGACACTATCAGTGTTAAGGTGCTATTTGAGGTTGGCAAGTGTAAGAAATAATTTTAATGTCATTAGTAAGAGGATATAGTAGGTCACTCGCTTGGTCTGAGTTTTCATTCATCAGCCTGAAAGTAGGAAATTACTATAGTGAAAACAGTCCTTAACTGTACATTTTCCTATCATGTGACAATGGAAAGTAACCACATGTTTTTATTTTGTGTTTAAGATTTCCTTTTAAAGAGAAACTTCTATGATTCATAACTGGCCAATATTATTATACATGAGTTTAATTCAGTTTGAAAGATAATTTTCAAATGTGAAATAATGGAAATAGGAACATTTTAAATGTGTTGTATCTAAAATTTAAGGAATTTTATCATTGAAAGGTAAGTTCAATCAACCTCCTGTTAGTATTTTTTATTAATAAAATTTGATTTATCTAGTTTGTGGACTTCTCTTCCCTTTGCTTCTAAGTACTCACCCTGTTTTAAAAAGGTAGTTAACAGTTTTCAGACCCTATCAAGCTGAAAATTCAAATCAGGTGCATTTAAAAGTGAGTTCTTGATTGTTGAAGCAGACAAAATTATAGCACCTGAAGTTAATTTAAACAGTTTCATAACACAAAGCCATGGAGCTTATTTAATTTTTACCAGTTCTAACAAACATTAAAGTTTCCAACTGAATATAGAATGATAAATACCCAGTGAGTAGCATTGGTCTTTTATCATTTCTATATGGCATCAAAGTCAGTGTGGGTACAAAATATGAATGAGAAGGTAGTGTAAATATGTCAAATATAAAGTGAATAATAATTTGGTGTAAACATTTTACGGTGATTTCAGTGGTTTACAAATTGTAGTATGACGTATTTCAATTACAGCCAGTTCTCTATCATTTCTCATCCAGAAGAGTGATGTTCTTTATCAGGACACAAAGACTTACTGAGGAAGTTAGAAAAAAAGTTTTATTGAATTAAAAATCAAGTGGTTTTAATTTTGTTTTATAACTTAAAATGACACAGGTGAGTGCTTTCTAAAATAGACTGTATAATTTTCTGTTGCATTCCTTAAATTGCCATGTTTTGGATATCTCTTTTCAGTTAATAAATCTGCTTACAATGAGGGGATGAAACTGTAATTCAGATTCAGCTTTCTCATTATTTGCATAGGAACAGTAACTAGAATCAGTAGTCTTTAATTTTAGAGGATGTTGAAGCAAAACACGTCAGTCTGTATCTGTAAGGAAATTTTATTTTATTCCTTTTAGAAAATTAATTCATAATTTATTATTAGTGACCTTGGCATAAGGAAATTTTAAGGAGGCATTTATTAGGTTTGCAAACCAGGGCAGACTACCCCTCAAGGAAGGGAAAGTCTGCCCATTCGTGGTTAAAAGCAAGAGGTTTTGGGGCTGGCACATTAGCTCGGTTAAAGCACTGGTGTTGTAACACAAAGGTACAAGGGTTCGGATCCCTGTACTGACCGACCAGCCACCAAAAAAAAAAAAAAAAAGGGCAGGAGGTTATGATAAAAGTATAGGAAAGTATAAGTAGTAAACAAGACTCCAAATATTGTTTTAAAACATAATAAGTGACTACATTTTTGATCAGGACAATTTTGATCTATAGAACAAAGTTGTTTTTATGGTACCCAGTCAAATGATTACACCTATCTTTGTCTAAACAGTGGGTTTCCTGAGGTCAGTAAATTTAAGTAAAAGGTCAGTTTCTTAGGCCCTGAGGAACAATTTAAAGTTCGGGTATGGAGTTACTTCAGTTCTTTCTTCAGTTCTCCTTTCGGGTCTCTTTTCAAGGATGAATTGAATTTTGTGAAATATATAGCATTATTTCACCCCATGATTAGAAGATCTAGATTCTGTTGTGGCCCTACTATCATATACTTGGCATGTAACTTTACCTTTGTGCTTTTCAGTTTCTTCAACTCTAAAATCAGAGTGTTACGTTAAATATGAATCTGTGTACCAATGTTGTATTTCTAAAGCAAGCAAAAAAATGTGTTTAATTGCATTATCACAAATGTCACAGTTTATATATATATATATATATACACGTGTGTGTGTGTGTGTATATATATATGTACACATAGGTATATGATTGCATCAGAGACCCTATTGACTGTTTGCTAGGAACTAA